TTCGTTTGTCTTGAAATAAATCAAGCGTAGAACATTTTTCAGGATTGAATATTTATTCATATCTCATCCATAAAATCCTTTTAAATAATAAGGTCTCACAATCAATTCAGCCTTATTATTTGGTTTATAAATAAAACTGCAAAGTTAGTTAGTAGTTATTTCCCAGAAATATTCTATCCCATTGTCCGCCATTTTTGCAACAACGTTCTGTCCTTTGCGATACACCTTGGTAGTTGGTAGTTCTCAACTTCGCCAACAGATCGCTCTGCGCTACATGGCAACCAATAACCTGCAAGATTAGTGAAACGGTGGAACTGAGGACGAACCAATCACCTGTCTGCTACTAAACTGAAAACTCAACTCATCAAAACTCTGTTCATCTACATCAGCTGTTTAATATAACCCGATCTTGAATTGAAACATATAACCTGCAAGTGTGTTTATGTTGTTGAAAAATGAACACATTATTTATTTAATCAAATACGAATTGAAAAGGGTCCTGAACTGGAGAAAACTGGTAATTATTGTTATTGCTATGCTCTCTTTATTCATTATTGTAAATATTATTGTCAACAGAGATTATTGGTATAGTAACAAATTGATAATTGACTTCACTTTACTATTGAATTTGAATTGCAAATTGATTTATGCACTTCAGTAGGCCTAGATTTATGAGATCATAATTAATTTAAGATTTTGGCTATTTTATGAAAACTCATCTATTCTTGTTGTGTGTTATTTAATTTGTTTGTTCATGATGAGATACTCTACCCTACAAAGAAAAGCAAAACTTGTTAAAAACAGGTTTCAGAAAATAAATAAATATTTGTCAAACCAACTTCCTCGCACTGAAGGTCAAGAATTGAATCCTGCTACTATACAGCGTTTACACAATTATAATGAGGTCAGAGATCTATTTACTGACTTTAAAACTGTATTTAATAGAGTTGTGACTGATGACCCTGCTTCTGATTGTGAGGAAGAGGAATCATTTTCAATGCATGATGATTTTTCTGACCTGTATGTCGCCCTAACAAGTGACATTAAAGTTCTTTTGCCAGTTGAACCTGTTGTAACACCTACTCCACCTCCAGCTTCTCTGCGCCTGCCTAAATTTTATTTGCCTAAATTTAGTGGTAACTATGAAGAGTGGGTTAGTTTCTATAATATTTTTGAAGCCTCTGTCAATGTGAATAATTCTGTCTCCCCAGTGAATAAGTTTCAGTATTTACTTAGTGCCCTGAGTGGTGAGCCCTTAGACTTGGTTAAGAGTCTTAATATTACTCCTGAAAACTATGTGGTAGCCCTTCGACTTCTCAAGGATCGCTATGAAAACAAGAGACGTATTGTCACTCAGCTTGTTACAAAAATTCTGGATTTGTCGCCCATTACTAGTGGTTCGCTTAAGAGCTTGCAATCATTTCTCACTGTATATAAGGAAAATACTCAAGCTTTGAAAAACTTAAATCATGACATTACAACTGAAAACAACCTGTTAGTCTTAACACTTTTAAAGAAGATCCCAGCTGATATTAGAAAATCTTTTGAAGACTCTCGCGCCTTAAACAATGAGATCCCTCTTGTTAATGATTTAATGACCTTTCTTGAAATGGAATTCAAACGTTTAGAAGGTGCTAGTATTTGTCTCAGTTCACCATCTACCTCAAAGTATTCCACTGGCCAAAAGTGTCCTACAAACATAACTAGGCTAATAAGTTTACACGTGAAAGTAAGCCACATTTCACCAACCATACAAAACTGCTTTTGTCGCCACAACCAACTCTTGTAGATTTTGTCAAGCTGCAGATCACAACATATACAAGTGTCAAGCTTTCCTAGCTAGAAGTGTGAGTGAAAGATCTGAGTTTATTCGCAAGAATAGGATTTGTACAAACTGCCTCGGTTACCTTCATAACACACTCAACTGCCCTTCAAGTAAAGTGTGTCAGATTTGCTCCAAACATCACCATACTCTATTGCATGAGCCCACACGTAGTTCACTTCAGTCACAGTCAAGCTATCAAACTAAGCTGTCTCCTCAAAATAAGACCTACACACCTAATTTATCTTCAAAGAGTACAACAACTATTAATCCTGCTGCTTCTACAAACGTGAACGCTTTTGTAGGATTGTCTAGTCAACTCAACCCAACTAAACCACAATCCTTCTTGGTACATGTTTAGTTCATGTCTCTTCACAACATGGTCAACATACTGTACTCCGTGCTGTGCTCGACTCCGCTGCCCAACTTACCCTTATATCAGAGAAAGCTATTCAACTCATCAACGCCCCACGTACTCGACTCCATGATGAAATAATGGAATCTCTGGTGCAGTTATTAATTCTAGAGGTATTGTACATGTCAACATGTCTGCGATCAATGGAAATCCTTTGGCAAAAAACCATCCTTGTATGGTTTTGAGTAGTATCACATCACCCTGCCTCAGATACCAGTTTCACACCAGGTTAAGGAATCTTTGAAACATTTTATCCTAGCTGATCCCTGTTTCGATCAGCCTGGAGAGATAGATTTACTTATTGGTGCAGACTTATTTGCCCTAACCCTCACAGGAGAACAACATAGATTAGGACAAAATTTACCTCAAGCTCTTGGAACCATTTTGGTTTTGTTGTGATGGGCCTAGCTCCTGTAGCCCCTGTAGCAGGAAACTCATCAAACACATTTCCCATCTCACTCTTGACAACTCATGATTTGGATCTTCATAATTCACTTCAAAAATTCTGGACACTAGAAGAACCCCCAATACGGATCAAGGCTCAGACTGAGGAAGATACCCTCTGTTTACAACATTTTGAAAACACCCATAGACGTGATGACTCAGGTCGTTACATAATCGAGCTGCCCAAGAAACCAAATCATTCCCCTCTTGGTGAATCTTGTACCAAAGCACAATTGAGACTTAGCTCGATGGAAAGGAAATTCTCTAATCAACCCGAGTTACAAAGGCTCTATTCTGAATTTATGGATGACTACATTGAATCAGGTCATATGACTATTTGTAAAGAACCTCCCACCTCTGAATACTATTATTTGCCTCACCACGGTGTCTTCAAGGAGAATCCCCCGAATTAAAAAATTCGTGTTGTTTTTGACGGCAGCGCTAAAACTACTAATGGCATATCATTGAACGACATTCTCATGCCTGGTCCCAAACTTCAAAATGATATCAGTGATGTTTTATCGTATTTTAGATGTCATAAAATTGTGTTCACCTGTGACATACGTCAAATGTATCATCAGATCTTGGTTTCTGATAAGGACAAAAGTTATCAAATGATATACTGGCGCGCTAGTCCAGATAATCCACTCCAAACGTACAAACTCAATACAGTTACATATGGGCTTAATTGTTCCCCTTTTATTGCAATCAAAACCTTGCACCAGCTAGTTTTGGACGAAGGTCAACCATACCCACAAGCTTCTGATATCTTGACCAAGTCTATCTTCTATGATGATATTATAGCTGGAGCTGAAGATCTCGATAAAGCTATGTCAGCTCAAAATGAACTGAAAACATTGCTGTCTAAAGGCGGTTTTGAACTCCGTAAGTGGATCAGTAATGCACCCCAACTCTTGGATCAGATTCCAGTCGAACACAAAGAATCACCAGTGGAGTTGACTGATGGTAGTGAGGCCTTCTACAGTGTATTGGGTTTAAGATGGACCCCAGAGACAGACATGCTCTCATACAAAGTGAAGAATGTTGAAGTAGGCCACTTGCTAACCAAGAGAATGATTCTTTCAACAATCGCTAAACTCTATGATCTCCCAGGATTTCTCACACCTGTAATATTTTGGGCTAAACACTCATTCAATATCTTTGGACCACAGGTCTAAAATGGGATGATCCAATTCAAGATGAGATAAGAACAATATGGATTTCCTTTTTGGAAGAACTACCCGTGATCCAAAACTTAAGGATTACACATTACATCTTTACCTCAACTCATAAGCTTGCAGAACTTCATGGTTTCAGCGATGCTTTGGAGAAAGGATATGCTGCAGTAGTCTACCTCCGTGTGATCAACTTATCGAATGATGTTAAAATTAATCTGATAATGGCCAAATCTAAAGTCGCCCTACTAAAAAGAGTATCTCTGCCTCGTCTCGAACTGTGCGGTGCTCACCTACTTGGAAAGCTCCTGCAATACTGTTCAAATCTTCTTTCGTCCCACATTAAGATTGACTCGATGTATGCATGGTGCGACCCCAGTCAGCACACAGAAGTATATAATATGTATTATTTACTTTGAGCCAAAGTAAATCCAAAATAAATTATACATATTGAATTGATATAGAATACTTCTATTTTACGTCTATACGTCCCACTTTATTTTGTAAATAATACGTATTACTAATACGTCAATTTACGTAAACCATATACAAAAATAATACGTCAATGATATATGTATATGGAATGTAAATTTTGTACAAGCTAAACTGAAGCAATAATATGTAAATTTAAGTATTATTTATGTAAATCATCTTAATTATGTACAGTAATGCAAAAAATATCTGAATCTTATTAAATTGTATTAAGAATCAATTTATCCAATTATGTTTAGCACCTAAATAAACATAATAATAAATGTTCTGTCAGTAATCAACATAAGAAAGATGGATTAGTTCTCAGCTAAAGTCAATTATTATAAAAATATTACTCATCCTAAAAACTTGAGGCACTTTTAAGGGTGACTCTTTAGGCGATAAACTATGGTCAGTACGGTAGTACTATGAAAACTGTGGTAAGTTCTAATTTATTTTTTTAAATTGTCTTCACTCATTCATGGTGTGTTAGTATTTGTTTGAATTGAATGCATAAAAATGTGTTACTTTATAGGAAACAAATTCTCATTAATCAAAAGGAAAACTAATCATTCTAGAATTATTAACATAATATCATATAATTAGTAATTAGAATTGAATTTGTACCCAACAAAACTAAAATCAGAACAGTAGGCAATAAGTACAAAGTACAGCTTTACAATTAAAAATGTAATCTTAATAAATCAAGTACAGCTTTACATTTTAAAATTTAATCTTCGAGCCTGCCGGAACCATTCTTTAACCTTGGTTTCAAATGCCTTGTATGTGACATTGTCTCCGTGAGACGCTGCAACAACACCTGAAACATGATTTTACAATGTGATACCACAGAGTTTTCACTATAATTGTTATGTTATAAGCAAGTATTAATGTGTTTGATTCAGTTTTTTCTCATAAGGTCGTTTCTACTTTGTCCTTTAACTTAGAAGAAGACTTTTTACGGGGGTTCAAAACAATTTACCCTTGATAATCCGACATGGCGGTGATGCCACTGGACACTAATTAGTTAATACTAAATACTTTATGAGTATAAACTCGGGAATATTTTGCAGGGCCGGTTTGAGTAGTAAGCATAGTACGTGGTCGAAGCAAAGCAAAATGGCGCATCCAATGTTCAGGATTAAGGAGACCCACAAATAGACTCGTTCATCAACACTTCTCTGTCATCTACTTGGACTGGTCTGGTAGACCTTTGCATGTTTTATACATAGCCTACATACTCTAGCTTATTCGTGTATCCAGAAATAATCATTACTAATAACAGTGCCGTAATTAGAGTACTTGCGGACCTAGGTCAAACTAACCTCAGTTATCCTACGATCACGGCGAAATCGTTAACATATCCTGTGATCATGAAACCATTGCCACCTACGATCGCCATGAAATTGGGAAAATCACCACACATTGGTAGTCAAACATTTTTGGCAAACTGACATTCTAATGGGCCTATTTAAGTAAATGTCCGATTATTGAGAGCCAACTGTAGTTACCTAGATTAATAGAGGCCAAGTAATGATTTACAAAAAGTTTTTTTATGTTATGGATATCAAATACCCCCGCCACAGCAACCCTGCAGACTAAGCAAATTTCCATTTACTGGGCTGGATTTCTACTTAAGTACAGTAGAGTCTCGCAAACTCGGCACTCGATAACCCGGCAGTCTGGATAACTCGGCCATCACCTGGCTCAGAAAATTAGTGATTTTTGAGTACGACATGAGTTAAACATGGGCTCAAGTTAAATCATTCCCAACTTGTACCAAGGATTTATTGTACTGTATCTGATGACTTAATACTGACTTGTAATATAAATATAAATAAATAAGGCAGCTAAAAGGATTACAAATTGTATGGTTCTTATTTATAACCCTAGTTCCCAATAACCCGACATTTCACAAACTCGACACCCTTCCAGTCCACATTACGCCAAGTTTTCGGGACTCTACTGCATTCCCTTAAAATTGTAAGATTTATTTCCTATTTAAATAGGTAACATTGATTATAATGAGTACTGTACTTAGGTTTGCTGCTACAAGCAAGGAAGGTATTAAAGTGTTTTTTTATTTCAATTGAAATGTTCATAAACTAGAATGAAACAAACAAAATTGTCAAATTTGACAAAAATATATTTATATAGCCTACAAGCAAACTAGCCTACAACAGTTTTTCTCCATGAGAATAACATAGAAATTATTAATTTACAATATTTTTCGATTATCTCCGTAACCGATAGGCATACAACAACGCTTCAATATACAAAATTATTTCTTTTATAAGATCTATACAAAATTGGTATGGAAAGAAATCGTGAAGTTTTGTGTTTTTAGAGTCAAAAATCAGAAAACCCAATTTTTACCCCATAAAACCCCCCATAAACCCTCGTTCCCATAGTCTGTTCAAATTATTTTGAATAAACGTAGGTTATACATTAGTACCAAATTTGATCAAAATTGGTTCATTTTTGCTCGAGATAACGGACATATACATACATATGTATATATTTCATATATATATATGAATTTAAACGGAGGGTGTTTTTGGCCTATGGAGGACCCCAAAATGAAAAAGTAAATCGGTCCCGGGTCGAGGTCTTACCATGAGACCTACAGTAATAGCTTATTCCCTATATGGGAAATTCGCTAAAAAAATTTAAACTTGTTGTTAGCTTGTTAAAATTTTCCTTAAACTTTTTTTATAACTATTTCTTCTTTTTCTTTTTGATATTTTCTGTTTTTATTGGTTTAAATTAGGGGCCCCAAATAAAGTCTCCGGTTGGGAACATAAGAGGGTTTTAATTGAATCTAATGATGAATATAGAACGGATTCACGTTTAACATTAGCCTATTAGTTTTAGAAAAAAAAAAACGGCATCTCATCCTTACAAATTTCTCCCACAGTCTCCCCATGATTAGATACAGATTAGATTTAAATAAATCAAATATTTCACACACCTTTAAAAAAAGAGTGTTCATAAATATTAAGTTGGGTAGCTTTTTAAAAATAGATTTAAAATTATAACTCAAACAAACGAGGTAATCACTGCTCCCCAGGTAAAATAACTTTTCAGGGACTATTATTTAAATCTATATAATTAATACGCTACATGAAACTTTGTCGGTTGAACTCCTCCGCCATTTCTTAACCGATTTTATCCATTGACGTCTCATTGGAAAGAGCGTGTTGCATAGATTTGCAAACTGGCCTTACATTTTTGAAAAATCCCTTGGGCTCTGCCCCAGTGGCTTTGAAAGTTCCCATGTTATCCTTATGAAGAACATAATTGTTTACATTTTGATCAGCTGTATAATTTAATTGCTGTTATTTATTTTTCAATTCAATGAAATGCATTGAGTACATTTATTTACTATTTGAGTTTGTGTAAACATATCCCCCAAGACGGATCGTGTTAGTATGGTTGTATCTTAAATTTGTGTATTTATCGTTGTTTTGTGTCGCTATGACGGATCGTGTTAGCATGATTGTAATTTTAATTTGTGAATTCATCTTTGTTTTGTGTAGCTATAATTTGTTTATTTGTTGTTTTTTTATGCCTCCGACGCGACGACAACGAAACATAAACAGGAGGCGTAATCGTGATAACGACCGCAGCTACAGAAACAGAACAGTGTGGAGCGTAATAGGCTTAACTCATCACAGTCAGCACCTGACCCTGGACAAACTCAACTATTAGGTTACAAATGCGCCCTTTAACACTACCCCAAAACGACTTTTCGTTCTCAATTAGTTCTCTATCATGACCTGTGTTGCCTGTACAGCGAGGCATTTTAAGAAGGAGAAAACCGGCCGGAATGCTTTAAGTTTATCAATAACGAAGATAAACATAGTCTGAGTTACAGTACACACCGGTAATCTTATTGAGTTGAGTCTTTTAAACACATTGTAAATATGACTGTTATTCGTTTTGAAATAATTCCTGTAATACTTTGCAATTGCTCGAATTCGAGCAACATGTACACTAGTTCCATTAGATTCCAGTAACTATTAGTAGGCAACTATTATACTCACTCTCCAGTGTTTTATGAAGTTGAGGCTGTGGAGGGTCCTCTTTCCCTTCCTTCCCTCCCAACTGAAGCTAACATCTACTTCGTTTGTCCGCGATCTGATGAGGGCTCGACAGTCAGAGTCCACCACTGTTGCGCCCCCAATCCTTTGGAAGAGGTCGATCTACAAAAACAAAAAAACTTGTTAGTCATATTTAATCGTTTTATACTTTCGGCTAAGTACCTTCTTAGGTGTGTTTGACTGCTATAACCATTATATTTCCCAAAACAATAAGTAAATCCAGGCCTGATTCCACAACTGGCCCCTAGGAGTGAACATAACATAACCTAGATACAGCAACAGAAGGTATGTTTTTTAAATTAGGCCTATTTGTTGCATTCACAATTAATTAAGTTTATCTTATTTACTTATGACAGATATACCTATCCATGCATAAGCTAACTTAATTCCTTGTAATAATTGTTGAATGAAATTGTGTATGCCTAAGGCCCATGTTATATGGACAAAAAAAACGCGACAGATTTTTTGCCGCGTAGACGCCAAGCCTACCGAGCAATGGACGTAACTGTGTGCAAGTTATATGAACGTTTTATCTGTCGCATCGGACACTGTAAACCTGGCGTCAGCGTGGACAACGCGACCGGACCGGTAAAACTGGCGGAAAAAACGCGACAGAAATTATGCGAGTACCTACTGTTATACGGGCAGCTTTTACACAGCAGATCCGTGCTTCACCCCACCATACTTCTCCGACAGGATAGTTCCCAGGCGAGGCGGGAGTGGAAATTCACAGTTCGGCGACCTTCGGGCTCCCTCGGAGCCTGTCGCACGTGTTTACTGCTCGTATAACAGCTCCCTGGCGTCGATGACACAGCGTGATTGCTGATTGTATAACAGCACTGAATTTGTAGATCAGCGTCGGCGTTTTATCTGTCGCGTTCTTGCTGTCCGTATAACATGGGCCTAAGTTAATTAGTATATAGTATAGTTACCTATTAGTCATTTGTAAATAAACAAACCGTCTAACAAAAACTGGACAAGTTCAAAAACCCTTAGCCAAAAAATTAACTTATCTCTTGATAATTTAACATAATGAAGCATATAATTAGTTGCGTTAAAATCTTAGTGTAGGCCTGGGAATTACCATTACCTACTGTAAATTTAAAAAACATCAAGCGTAACTTAAAACACAGAGGATACTCGTCCAGTAACAGGACGTGGATTAACTTAGGCGTCCGGCACTGACGTCACAGGGTTGTGAGGGCCCGGAACGCCATTACCACAACGATACGATGTACAGCCATCGGTGTTTGTTATGTAGTGGATAGAGTGCTAGGCTGATTAACGCAAGAGGTCCCTGGTTCGAATCACATCAGTAACTTTAACTTTTTGTCAAAGATTTTGCTTTGAATGCCATTAACTGTACATCTTTTGTTAGAATTTTTGGCATTTATAATTTTATTTTATGAACATAATTTAACCTTCATTCATTATCATTTTTCATTATCAGCAAGTTTGGTTGGTTAGGTTAGGTTATGACAGTAACTGCTGGACGCCTAATCCACGTCCAGTTACCGGATGCGTATCCTCTGCGAATTTAAAAACCCTGTAACTTACTAATGTGCTAATTAATAGGCCTAACCTAAGTTAGTTAATATCGTAGGCCTACTTGATAAAATCTTGGCTGCACTTTAGTTTCTGTCCTACATTTACTCACATAACTCAAGTTACCTAGTACTTAACTGCATGTTTGGTTAAGGTTAAGTTAAGTTTAGAACAGTTTCATCAGCTGGTAGCACAAATAGGCCTACCTATTTGTGTAGTACCGTACCTAAATAGGTACTAGAAAACATGTTCTAGTATTCGTGGCTAGTAGTCCTATAGGCCCTAATAGTAAATGTAGGACAGAAACTAAAGTGCAACCGAAATCTTGAAAGAATACACACCTACCGAAAATATCATCCAAGACCAGTAAAAATGAAGATGTATCTTAAACCTTCTTTATCCAATTGTCTGTGATGTAACTTAACTTAGCCTAGCCTAATTAAAATCCAGTATTTGTAAGTTTAGACCATAAATAAAAGCAGAACACTTACCTTTGAGGGTTGTAGAAAATTGATGATGAATTGAAAACATAAATAAGTTAGGTTGATCTAGCGAAAATCTTAAAAGTAGGCCTAGGACCAACGGTAACACCGATGGCCAATAAACTTCTTGATTCTTGAACTTAAAGAAGCCAAAGAACTCGAACTGCAGCAGAAACACAGAACTAAACAACTAAAACAAAAACAAAACAACAATGGCGGCCTCGGCTGACGGCTAGTCGGCGTTACGGTACTGTCCGACCCATTCGATACTATCGTGCTAATACGATTTTCAATGCATATCGAAAGACCAGTAATGCTCCGTGGAGAAAGGATTTATGATTTATTTCAGTTATACCTTAGTAATAATAATAATATTAGTTATTAATTATTAACTTTAGTTTTTCTAACTTAGACTGTAGTAGGTGCCTAGTCACATAAATTTAAATTAATCATAACTGCCCAGTAAGCTATCGAATAGAAATATCGAGCCTATCAAGTTCGATGTTGATATTGACTATCGATATAATTCTAGTATCTATCAGTCTGGCTTCGATATTTTTATTCGGATCCAATAAGTCAACGCTGCAACCCCAACCCCAATCCCAAACCGGTTCGGTCTAACTACACTTCTTGGCTTGGTGAAGGAATTCTACAAGTGACCTTCGCACATGCCACCCCTTTGTATTACAGTTCTTTGTCTAGCTGCCTGTATTGTAAATTCCTACTGTCCCTTCTTCTAAGAAAAACTTTCTCTAAAAGCAACTGTTTGGTCTGAGTGAAAATATCTCTTTCTCAAGGCATTGAGCAAAATTTACAAATCTATCTGGTATGAATCCAGGAAAATGGTTTATGTATATTTGACGTAAATATATGTATATTTTACGTCAATATTAAAGTATATGGGATGTGAATAAGTTACATTCAGTATACATTAAATGTATCGAGAAATAGGCCAGAAAATAGGTTTAAATCAATCACATATTAATTAAGACAGTATTTCATGTTGACCTAAAACAAAAGGTAACGATATTTTCTATGTAAATATCAGCGAGTAAATTATATGTGAATTTCACATATTTCAATATACTTTACATAGTTTACCAAGATTGACCTAAAATATATGTATATAATACCTCGTGTGCTGACTGGGACTCTACCATTGTTCTTACATGGATACGCACTCACCCCTATCGCTTAAAAGTTTATGTGGCCAACCGTGTCTCAGAACTACAAGAATTAATCTCTCCTGAATCATGGCATTACGTCAAGTCCCTAGACAACCCAGCAGATTGTGCAATCCGAGGACTCTCCCCATCTCAACTCTTAAGCCACCAATTGTGGTGGAAGGGACCTGAATGGTTATACTTGTCATCAGATCTTTGGCCAAAGCCCGAATTCAGTTTAATCACTGATCAAGACACTCTTGAAGTCAAACCAAATCCCTTGAATGTCCTAGTTAACGTTGAAAAGTTAGATAATGACAGATTTGATTTACTTGAAAAATTCTCATGCTTTAGAAAACTTGTAAATGTCACTGCTTATGTTCTACGATTCATCCATTATCTTCGTGGGAACGCCCGTCTAGCTGGACAACTTAGTTATAAAGAGATCTCTTCTGCTAAAATGAATCTCTTCAAACTCATTCAAATTTCATCTTTTAAGGATGACATCACAGCTCTGAAAAAGGGCACTCAGTGCAGCTTAAGACTAGCTTGGTTATCACCTTACATTGACGATTGACGATAACGGTTTGGTAAGAGTAGGCTGTAGGTTGAAACATTAGAACCTTACTCAAGATGCCAAATACCCAATCCTGTTACCTAAATCTCATAATGTTGTAAAACTGTTGGTCATGCACTATCATCTCAAATATTTACACGCAGGCCCTCAGTTGCTGCAATCGATCCTCACTCAAGAAGTATGGATATTATCTGCTCGTAGTGTAATCAGATCTGTAATCTTTAAATGTCAAAGATGTTTTAAGTTGAAACCTACAAATCAACCTCCACTTATGGGAGACTTACCCGAAACTGAACTACGGCCTGTAAGACCATTCTATCATACTGGCATGGATTATAGTGGTCACTTTGAAGTGAAAGTACACACTACTAGGAATTCTCAAAAGTTAAAGTCATACCTCTGCCTGTTTGTTTGCTTTACCACAAAAGCGGTGCACTTGGAAGTTGTAACTGATCTCTCAGTGGACTCATTCATTGCTGCTCTTAAAAGATTTGTTTCTCGTCGTGGACTTTGTGCTCACCTATACTCTGATTGTGGAACGAACTATGTTGGTGCCTCCAAGCAACTGAATAAGACCTTCCAGAATTTCATTGATGAAAAGAATACTCAAGATGCTCTCACTAACTTCGCCCTCGATCATTCAATTAATTTTCATTTCCAACCACCAGCCGCGCCTCACCAAGGAGGCCTTTGGGAGAGTGCCATAAAGAGCTCAAAGTACCAAGTTCAAAAGAGTAATTGGAGACCAAGTTCTAACACTAATGGAGCTGATAACTCTTGTCACGCAGGTGGAAGCAGTATTGAACTCTCGTCCACTGACAGCTGACATCACAGCACTCACCCCAGGTCATTTTCTCATCGGGACATCTCTTGCCGCAGTTGAAGTAAATGTATCCGATATTCCTGACAATCGACTAAAACATTGGCAAACAGTTCAGGCTCTACATCAGCGCTTCTGGAGAAGGTGGCACCAAGAGTATTTGCACCAGCTTCAACAAAGGAAAAAGTGGATAAAGCCAAACAAGAATCTTGAAGTAGGCGATTTAGTCATTATCCATGACCCAAAAACACCACCACTTCTCTGGCCTCTTGGTCGCATTGTGAAGACATCACCTGGAGCAGATGGCATCGTTTGAGTTGTCTCCATCAAGACTTCGAGAGGAATCTTCTGTCGCCCTGCTACCAAGGTGTACCCGCTCCCCTAATCACAAAACCAGACCCCCAATATTTCTATTTTATTTAATGTCCTATTTCATGTTTATTTATATTTATAATTGTCATATATATTGAATCTTATAATTAGGTGTGTCATCATTATCTATTGTGTATATATATCTACATTGTATTACTTGTGCCCATTTATGAGTCAATGAATCAATTTATGAATCTCTGTTGAACCATGTATGGTTCAAGGCGGGCGGCATGTTCCGTATTCAAGCATCTACGCAACCTAGGTGAATCCAGACTTCATTCATAATTTGTTCTGACCCTTGCCCTGTCGCGTGATGTCTGGCAATTCCCCCCATTCCCCATGTACTCTTCAACCCGGCATCATGTTCTCGCCATTCTCCCTAGTTTTTTATTATAATATTCCCTTACACTATTTGTGGCACATAAATTGAACTTATACTATCATATGTTTATCTTATGTATTTATTTGTGACACACCTAACAAAAAAGTGAACTGTGAAAAGTTAAAAACTGTATTCAAACTGTTCTTGGTGCAACTACTCTACCGGTCGCGTACGCGAAAGCTGGCCAGCAAACATCAAGTGCGTCAACGGTCTACTAGACATCACTTCAGTAAAAAGGAAGGTACCAATTCATATTTCTTCCTATTTAAAAGTTTATTATTTTGTGCTCACAGTGTGTCTCTAAAGCTGATCTTAACATAATATATCTCACTCCTTATTTTTTTATACAGTCCACCATATAGAAGTTTACCCCCCAGACTCAATAACTGGAAGAGCGTTTTGGGATTGTTCCTAAGAGAGTAAAGAGCTTTGGCAGGTACCAACTCTGAATTAAGGCATACCCTACATAGAACCCTATCAGCTAATGAATTGGGGCTGGAGGGGATGGTCTAGGAGACATTTCTTTTTTTAAAGAGGTTGGCGACCTCTTTCAACCGTTGCATTTGCCCGTCCACATAGGCTATGGGCTTGTGCGTGGAATGTATGCAGCAAAGCAAGGGGTGAGCCAGTACAGTACAAGGGTGAACTGTAACTGTACTGAAAAAAGTAGTGGCAGTGACCAGGATCCAAACCTACAACATCGATGCCTTGTGCCCGAAGTCCGTGACGTTACCGATTGAGCCACCGACTCACTCTGGAGGCAAGGAGTGGGTTACAATAGACCTTGTAGGTCGCAGTGAATCTCTTAAACCATGTCCCTCCGGAACTGTCAGTATCAATACTTACATGTATAGATTGGTTAGCTACATAGACAAAGGACTATAAACATTTGATATTTACCAGCTCTTCTGAAACTGGTGAGCGATTCCCTCACTCCATCCAAGAGGCTAAAGGCTCCAGCTTTTGCAGCGTGGTACAGCATGGCATACTCCCCAGACACCTACAACATAATGTAGGAAGTGTAAAAATATACAAGTGGCAACAATAATTTCAAATCCTCCTGTTATTGTTCTATCTACGCCCATGGGATTTTTTTACTTTTTGAAAGGGAACATTCCACATCCTGCTTTATACTATCTTCTTAAAACTATCTAACGTCAGCCTTTTGTTATATAGCACCAATAAGATAGTATCAAGACCTACTGCAGTGTTTCCACACGGCCAAAAAAATAATCCCGCTTACTGGGTAGAGAAATCCCGTTTAATCCTGCATGATTTTCTTCGTAGAATCCAGAGTATTATATTTGACGTATCATGTTTTAAAAGTTGTTTAAACATTACTATTATATTTTACTACAGTATTTTAATCAATTGGAGTTAGTTTTTCTGTAAAATTAAGTAGAAAAGAATGAAAATAGTCGTCACAGCCAAAAATCCCATTTCATCCCGCATCTCGTTTTAATCCAGCTCAAGGTCTAAAAGTCCCGTTTACGGGATTAAAAACACTGAGAACTAAAGTCGGGACTATGTAAGTTTGCAGTTGGTGGCAGCCAATCACAAGACAGTGCGACGTTGCCACATCGCCCGTTGACAACACTTATTAAAATATACTAAGCAATATTTTCAAATCAGCTGGTATGATTAGATTTGGCAATACCGCACGGTTCTCATTGGTTCATTCAATACCATATGGTAAATAGGCTCCTCCCTCAACTGCAAACTTACGTGGTCCCGGAATGTCCCCTATCAAAAGTAAAAAAATACCATTGGCATAGATAGATGACAAATGGCATGAAGGTCGAGAAACGATCTTGCTCCATACATAAATTCTATATATATATACATATATATATATTGAACCAGTGACTTTCGGATTTGAAGGCGAGCTCTCTAACCACTCAGTTACCCAGACAATTCAGTGTTCATTGACATGAGAGTAAGAACATAAAGCAATTAAAATTTTTGCACACCAAACAGTCATGACAAGGATATTTTTATTGAACACAGTTTCTTGATGGTAGTATCTTGAGCTGATCAACCAAACATTGCTGGTTTGACTTCAGCTATCTGCATTATGCTAGCTATCACTGACAGTATCAGTCAGCTGTTGAAATTGATTAATTAGCTTGTTTTGTGCGTTTAAGTTAAAATTGTTCAGCCTCAGGTAACATTAACTATTGATAGGTTGATTGCTGGAATTGATTCTTGATACCACAGATTCTTAGAAATTGGAATTACTATCAAATACCCCCGCCGCAGCAAACCTGCCCACTAAGCAAATTTCCATATGCCTGAATTGATTTTCAATTAAATGTATTTAATTAACATTAGGTTTTATGAGTACCTAGGCTTGCTGCTACAGCGAGGGTGAAAAAGTGTGTTTTTTAGTAAAATAATAATAACGTAGTATAAAATAAATAAATTTACTAAGTTTGATCAAAATATACCCATAAACAAGCAAACTACAACATTTTAAAATATTCTCCATAAGAATAACATGGGAATTTTAAAATAACATTTTTTTGAATTTTCTCCGTAACCAATAATTGTACAAAAACACTTTGATATACTAAATTATTTGTTTTTTTAAGCTCTTTAAAAAAGTTTGGAGAGAAATTGGAAAATTTTGTGTTTAGAGGGTCAAAAATTTGAAAAACCAATTTTTACCCCATAAAACCCCCCGTAAAACCCCGTTCCCATGGTCCGATCATGCTGGTTCGCGAACTCATTCAAGTTTATCCCGCCTTACACCTTTAAACTAAATTTCATCAAAATCGGACAAAAATTACTCAAGTTATCGTGTTCACTGACATATATATATATAAATCTATATATTATATATATATACATATATATAAATTTGAATTAATGGTGTTTTTGGCCTCTAGGGACATCAAAATATAAAAGTAAATCGGTCCCGGACCTAGGTCCTACCATGCCACCTACGGTAATAGCTACTTCCCTATAGGGGAATTCGCTAAAATTGATCACCAAAAGGAGATACCAGATGAAAAGTGTAAAACTAAGGCTAGGATTATACTAGGACGCTGGTGTCCGAGAGGCCAGCGTCTGGGACGCTAGCGGGGCATTAAATCAAATGGGGGCGATTATACTATGGATGCTAGGCGTCGGATGCTAAAAAAGCCACCGGACGCTCGAAGCTATTACCGTAGGTGGTATGGTAAGACCTAGGCCAGGGACCGATTTACTTTTTCATTTTGATGTCCCCAGAGGCCAAAAACACCATCCGTTCGTATAGATTTAAATATTATATATATGTCTGTAAACGCGATAACTGGAGTAACTTTTGTCCTATTTTGAAGAAATTTGGTTTTAAGGAGAAGGGGATAAACTTGAAGTTAGGGATAAACTTGAATGAGTTCGCGAACCAGCATGAAAAGACCTTGGAAACGGGGTTTTATGTGCTAAAAAAGGGGGTCTGTCATTTTTGATCCATAAAACTGAAAAATTCCCAATTTCTCTCTAGACAATTTTAATGAGCTTAAAAACAAATAATTTAGTTTATTTAAGTGTTTTTGTACTGTGATTATCTATGGAGAAAATTTAAAAACATATTAAAATTGCCATGTTATTCTTATAGAAAATGTTGTTAAGTGTTGGAATTTGCTTGTGTATGGATATATTTTGATTATAATTGGCCAGTTTGTTTTATACTAAGCTAAAAATACACTTTATTAGCTCCCCTTAAAACATCAAACCTTGGTACTCGTTAAACATAATGTTATTTAAATAGATCTAAACAAAAAGTGACTAAGCCTTGAAATAAAATGGCATTCCGAGAGGCTAGCATCACAACACAAATCGCGTCATTTATCGGCTCGAGGTGGGACGCTAGCCTCTCGGACGCCAGCATCCCGGACGCCAGCGTCCTAGTATAATCCTAGCCTAATGCATTTTTTTATTATAGTAAAAAACCATAGAAAGTATGTGTTTTTTACATACAATTTATTAGAATTATAGAGACCTAATCTCATTAATATTGTATCAATGTCTTTAGACAGTTGTACGAACTTGGGTAAATAAAGTTGACCCATATTCTTTTTCACCTCAAAAGAGTTGAAAATTAGTCTTTAGAAAACATATTTGTAAGTTTATGCTTCTATTATTTAAAATTTAAGTACATTTGTAATTCAGTACTGTTAAGAATGTCTTTTATCTTACAAAGAAATTTTAAAAAGAACTTCTCATTGGTTCAGATAAGACAATGAACGACCATTTCAGCCAATCAGTATTTGTGTTGCACGAGGCAAGGAACTTTTACAATGTCATTCTATGTGAGCTAACCATGCTTCTCTCAATAAATTTATAATTTCCATTGTTAGTTGGCATAGCTTTTAATCCTACACCGTTTGTGTTAGTATTACGATTGATTTAGCGAGTATCCCATAGGAATAGGGAATAAGCTATTACTGTAGGACTCATGGTAAGACCTGAACCAGGGACCAATTTGCTTTTTCTTTGTGGTCCCCAGGGGCCAAAAACGCCATCTATTTAAATTCATATGAATATTAGTCCATTAGCACGATAACTTGAGCAAAAATAATCCGACTTTGATGAAATTCGTCCTACATTTATTCAAACGGGTTCATGAACCAGCATGATCGGACTATGGTAACAGGGGTTTATGGGAAGTTTTATGGGGTAAAAATTGGAGACCCTAAAATATTACATTTTACAATTTCTTACCAAACCAATTTTTAGAGCTTAGAAAAACAAATAATTTAGTATATTTAAGCGTTGCTATGCCCTTAATGTTAAATTTCAAATTCCCATGTTATTTTTATGGAGGACAAGTAAACTGTTATAGTTTATGAACATATGTTTATTTTGATCAAATTAGAAAAATGTATGTGCTTCATTAAAAACTATAAACATTTTACTACGAAAACACTTCATTACCTTCTCTGTAGCAGCAAAAGTACTTATTAAACTACTATTATTTTAATAAGGGAATAAATATTGGACAGTCATTCCTAGATCAATTTTCAGAAGTATTCGGGCTTACCTGGTAGACAAACAGTGGTATATGGGGGTGGTTTTGTCTTGTTTGCCTAAGTATATCCAAGTACGCCAAACCAGGCTTGACCATAATTAGATCTGCACCTTCAGCTACATCTCGGGCCTGCAACAGTTATTGGATGAACATAGGTTACGAAACTTTAAAATACAGGGCGTTTCAAAAAGTAGCCTCTGAATCTTTTACAGATTCAGAACCAAAGTTTCACTTAGTTGAGCAATTGGTTTTTGCATGACGGTAAAACAGCCTTGTTTTTATAGAAAAGTATGGAGAAAATATTACATTAGGGTTGCAGCTCTGTTTGTTTATATTATTGAACAGAAGTACAGTTATTGTCTGTTCTTTCTCAATCTCTAAAGTGTATGAAAGAGCCGTCTACTTACAATTATCAGAATTTTTGGAAAAATTTAATATTTTGGATGATAATCAGCATGGATTCCGGAATGGAAGATCAGTTGAGAGCGCAGCTGTTTCTTTTATCGAATCAGTCAATGAATCAGTAGACAAAGGACATTATACAATTGGCATATTTATGGACCTTTCTAAAGCGTTTGATAGTGTAAAACATAGTAAATTACTAGAAAAATTTAAAATAATTGGAATATCAAAAAGAGCTCTTATTTGGTTTTCTTCCTATTTGACAAATAGATCTCAATTCGTGGAAATTACCCATTTGACAAATCATAATAGAATTATCAAATCATCATCAACTTATCAACCAATTAAATTTTGGGTGCCACAAGGTTCAATTATTGGGCCTTTGCTTTTTTTTGTGTTACCTTAAGGGCATGGAAGATACTTTAACCTACAAGCAAAATTCTAAATTATTTCTTTACGCTGATGATTCTAATTTGATTGTATCATCTAACTCTTCAGACGAAACTGAAATTTTTACATATGTAGAATTAGAGAATATTCAAAACTATTTCTACCATCATAACTTATTATTAAATTCACAAAAAACTAAATTTATAAATTTCAGAACAGCACAGAACAAAATGACAAGAGAGCCATCAATAACTTAAAACTCAAAAAACATTCAAAGGGGAGCGAGCTGGCGTAGTCCTGTATTTAGAGCGAAGTCCCTGAGGTCCCGGGTTCGATCCCCGCCAAGTCACCAATGGATTTTATCTAAGTGATAATGCCGCAACCACTAGGTCTAGCCTGAAGTAATGCGAAAAACAATCCCAGGCTCGTGCCAAGAGTCCTAGGACAAAAAATACCCCCGCCGCAGCAAACCTGCCGACTAAGCGAATTTCCATTTGTATGAATTGATTTTCAATTAAATATATTAACATTAGGTTTAAACGAGTACCTAGGTTTGCTGCTACAAGGAAACTAATAACGTGTGTTTTTTAGTAAAATATTGATAGCTTAGTACAAAATAAATAAATTTGCCAAGTTGATCAAAATATATCCATAAACAAGCAAACTACAACATTTGACAATATTCTCCATAAGAATAACATGGGAATTTTAAATTTACATTTTTTTTAAATTTTCTCCGTTACTAATAACCGAACAAAAATACTTTTATATACTAAATTATTTGTTTTTTTAAGCTCTTTAAAAGGGTCTAAAGAGAAATTGAAAAATTTTGTTTTTTGAGGGTCAAAAGTGAGAAAATCCAATTTTTACCCCATAAAAACCCCCGTAAAGCCTCGTTCCCATGGTCCGATCATGCTGGTTCGCAAACTCATTCAAGTTTATCCTGCTTTACACATTATAACCAAATTTCATCAAAATCGGACAAAAATTACTCAAGTTATCGCATTCACGGACGTATATATATATATATATATATATATATATATACATATATACAAATTTGAATGAATGGTGTTTTTGGCCTCTGGGGACATCAAAATGAAAAAGTAAATCGGTCCCGGGTTTAGGTCTTACCGTGCCACCTACGGTATAATAGCTACTTCCCTATAGGGAAATTCGCTAAAAAAAATCACTATAAAGCGAGAGCTTGTAAGTGGTAAATATTTACCCCATCATGTTTTATTGGATTTGTTAAATAAACAATGTGAAATTTATTAGGAATACACTGTAAACCTTAATAATATATTCAACTTATATACACCCTATTATTTAGAGAATCTCAATAGAAAAGCTTGGTGTTAAGAGGCGGTCGGATAGAGCCCCGTATCCCATATTTTGCAGGCGTCACGAGCAACAACACAGTCCTCCCAAAACAGACTTTTGTAATAGTACCAACCTTGGCCACCAGTTTCGTGGCTGTCGCATAACGGGATCTGAGATTGTTGACAACCCTGTGTTACCTAGAAACTTGAAAGCATCAACTCGACTACCCTCAGCCTATGTCCTAGCCCTTGTCTATTGTCCCACCACACGTTTCACTTTCACTGGTTTGCTACCTTCGCTCACCCACCCTTTGCGTCTCAGCAGGTCTCAGTTCGTCACCGCACAATATGCTAATTTTCCACACAAAAAATGTTTTGGAGATACAAATAGCACTTTCAGTAAGACATTTCGATGTATACACATGTATTTTAATATAAAAATACATGATAATGTATTCAATTATAAATAATATACTAGCGCTACTGGGCTCAATAATGTAACTACTTGGCCTATCCCATACATTTTAGCGAATTTCCCTGTAATGAGATAGCTATTACCGTAAGTGGCATGGTAAGACCTACGCCCGGAACCGATTTACTTTATCATTTTGATGTCCCCAGAGGCCAAAAACACCATTCACTCAAATTTTTATATATATGTGTGTCCATGAACACGATTACTTGAGTAATTTTTGTCCGATTTTAATGAAATTTTGTTTGAAGGTGTAAGGCGGGAGGCGGGATAAACTTGAATGAGTTCGCGAACCAGCATGATCGGACCATGGGAACGGGGTTTTATGGGGTAAAAATTGTTTTTTTCTAATTTTTGACCCTCTAAACACAAAATTTCCCAATTTCATTGATACGTTGACAACGTAAAGCTTTAAAAATTCATTATGGTTTGCCAACAAAATCTTTCACTTGATGTGGTATCTTGGTATCAGTATCGAAGTAAAATTAAAATTCATGATGTAGCCCCTGAACTGATTAATTAGACTAATATGAGGTACGTACCTTTACGTCAACAGTTCAATTGTAGTAAGTAGAACTCACAACATGTTTCGCCTATTCACACCTATTCAAACAGTATCGAAGTTATTAATCCCCTTTGGTTTTGGATTTTTTTTTCGAAAATCAAAGTTATTTCCCATTAATAGCATTATTTGTAAGCAGCTTTTAATGTTAACATATTAATGACAGTTTGAAGAAAACCCCTTATCCAAACAAAGGGTTCTTATTTGAAAGATTACGTAATCTCTAAACGATGATCGGTATATTCCCAGCACTGAGCACTATACAACACTGATTCACGGCCTTTTCCCGGTTATCAAAACTCGAGATCAATCGTTGCACTTGCGATTAATTAAACCGGCTAAGTAAGGCAACAACGTTTTTAATCCCACTTGGTTTGGATGTGCTTACAAAACTTGATCAGAAATGGTTGTGGTATTTGTAAACAGTATTTAATGTAAACATATCATATGTGACAGCTAGAAGTGAGAACTAATCCAAATGGCTGGTCGTTATTTCATAAAAGTGGAATAGTAAACATTGGAAGAAAATTTGACAAAAATCGAACAAAATTGGGGTTTTGATGGTTCGTTATTTTGTTTTCAAGGAGTGGGGCCATGTTTTTATAGCCAAAGAAACTCACTAATCCAGTAAATACAGAAAAATGATTTGAACCTTGATCGGTATTCTAGTTTTCTAGGAGTAGACCGCGTAAAATGACATTTTGGCGTCACTGACAGAATGAAAGAATGGACAGACAGACAGAAATTGAGATAAGACTCGTTTCGACTTTCTTTGGCTATGAAACATAATGTAACCAGAAACTGCATGATTCTAAGAAATGTAGGCCTACAGACAAAACTGTATTTTATTTATATAGATATATGGAACGATTTAAATAATAATTTATTTTTGTAAAAAAATACAACCGACTTCAAACGCTCTAAAAAGAATGAAATAATTTCAATAAAGTAAACTTTTGTATTAGGCAAGCTCACGTATTTTAAGTCGGCGCGGCTCTATGATGATTTTTGATATAAAATTGAAAGAGGGTGTCCATATTGCAGGTGACTATCTATAACTAAAGGTGTTAATCTGCATGTCTTTTTCATAGTCATGCGTAAGTGTTATTTTATTACCGTAATCAGAGATCGGCATTATAGTGGTATTAACGAGTATCTTTAAAAAGATTATAACGCATTTAAATGTTTCTAACTTGGAAAAGTAACGTTTTAATACTAAACTAGCTTCTTTTCCCTATCATAATATCAAACTAAATTATTTTCCTATTCATATAGAACATTTGTGTGTGTTATTTTCATAATGCATTTATTAACTGAAGTAAACATAAAATACAAGAAAATATTTCCTTTAATATATATTTAAACAAAACAGTTCAGTATGTTTTTTATATATTTATGTTATCCAGCTACAATTTATTGATTTTCAAAATACACACACAGTATTTAATTTCAATCATATTTGCAGTTTGAGCCGCGCCGACTTGAAATACGTGAGCTTGCCTAATACAAAAGTTTACTTTATTGAAATTATTTCATTCTTTTTAGAGCGTTTGAAGTCGGTTGTATTTTTTTACAAAAATAAATTATTTCATGATTTTTAGTGACTGTATAATTTTTTATATATTGATTACTTGAGGTTTTTTGATAAGCAAAACTGTTTGAAACAATCAAAAGTTCCACAGAACAATCATTATTTTAAAACTGTTTGAGTCACCTGTTCAGGTTACATAATCAATGGGTATGAAAATAAACATTTTTAGATATTCCTTAAGAAAGAAAGAGTTGTCCATTACATTAGGCCTAATGAAAAACTAATTGTCTTTTCTAGATACATTGAAATGTCAGACATCATCGTTTCCTGCAATCGGTTTACTTCTACATTATAAAAAGAAATACAGTAACGTCTCAAGCCTTTTGGAACAATATGAAAGTTATTCCTCAGCTACCAGCACTAAAAAATCTCTCAAAAGTGGAAAATTGG